GGGGGGGGGGGGACACCGTGTCCATGCCGCAAAATACCCCCCGCCTGGCGCGTGCCGCAGGGGAGGGGGCGGGGCAGGGCACAGGGCGTCTCCATGCGCACGCGTTGCCTTCCGTCATTTCTCTCAATACACACAAACATAGACAACACGCGCATCGCTTTGCCCCCGCCTTTCCATGGGCACTACGCGTGCAGTTGGTGTCGCCACCAAGTGCCAACGGTCACTGGCATGGCGGCGTCTCCCACGTCTTCCTTGGTCCGCGATCTGGGGCGGCGCGCTCTCCCGCGGCCGGGGGGTGTAGTCTGTCTGCAATTTGGAGCGACGGTGGGCGAGTGTGGGCCGATCGGCTTTCCCGTGGAGATCTGGCCCTGTCTGGGGGGGGGGGGGGGGGAAAAAAAAAAGGGCCCGAGGGATTGCCTTGGCAGGCGTCCTGGGGTCAAGTTCCCTTCTCTTGGTGCCTTTCCCCCGCCCCGATCCTTTGCAACTTTTGTCCGGTGCCCCTCTCCCCTCCGGGTCCAAGGTAGTTCATCCTCGCTGTCCCTCACGAACGTGCCCTGCGAACGGGCCGAACGCACGCCCTCTCGCGCTCCACCTCCCACTTCGAGGCGCCATGTCTGATGGCCGTGCTGTCACCGCGTTGTCGGATCGTGGGCGTCCTTCGGCCCCCAGTGGTGGAGCAGCCGATATCCAGGCCGATGGTGGGGTTGTCGATGTTCAAGTTGTCGATGAGGAGATCATCGATGTGCTGGACAGTGATCATGATGTTCCGCCCGCTCGACGGACCCGTTCTGCCACCATGACCGCACGCGTTCTTCGCCAGCCGGATCCCGACACCGAGGACAGCGCCGACGAGGAGCCGGCTCACAGCGACAGCGATGGGTCATCCTCGGATGAAGATGAACCGAGGCCGGCCATGCGCCTCCGAAAGCGCGCGCGCCTGGTTACCACCCCGCCGGGCGGGGTCCTTCCGCCCCCTGCCAGCCCCCTGGATGGGGATTTCGCGGCGCTCATCGCCCGCTCTCATCCACCGGTGGGGATGCATCTCATCCCGGAGCAGCTGCTCCAGCCAGTGCGTGATATTCCCCCCCCCCTGTATCGGGTTTGCCGCTTCTTCCTGGTTGCGGGCTGCCAATTGTATTCGCATCCTTGCAGCAGCTGCTGACCGCCATTCCGCCAGACCCATGTGCCGAACGAGGTGCGCGAGCAGCGGCCCGTGTGGATGTCCGACACGGGGCGCATCTTCCTCGAAGTCTTCCCCCGGCGGCGGCGCCCGCACCGGACCGACCACCGGAGCCATGCAGTGCGGTGCATCACCGGCCGGGCACCCTCCTTCGGCCGGCTACTACCGCCGCCGGTCTTCGAGACCCCGGAGCATGTTGACCGGCATCCGGTGGAGTTCCGCCGCTTCATCACCACCTTCCTGGCGCAGGTGGCCGAGCCGGTCACGCGGACCGATCTCATCCACGAGTACCAGCTGTCGGTCCAGTCATTGCGAAATGCGGTGGCCACATCGGTCCGGAATGGCGGCTCGCCGCGCGCCACCCGGCGCATGCTTCGACTGGCCAGCAAGGGGCCGCTGCCGGCGCCGGTGCGCCGAGCCCTGGCACGGGCCGAGGCTCCAGCTATCCCGGGCATGGCGCCCCCTAGCGATCACCCTGCCGGGTCGAGGCTTCCTTGGGGTCGGACGCGAACGGGCTTGCCGGCGGTTCGGCTCTTCCCCTGGCCGCCGCCAGCTGGCTTTCACGCGGACTCGGTGGCACTCGGCGCCCTGTTGTCCACCCTGCCCGATGCTCCGGCAACGTCGATGCCCGTGCTGGCCATTGCCCGGGAGGACAGTGGCCTGGGACCAGGCTCTCCCCTGGTGTCGGCTGGCCAAGGGAGCATGTGCCTCGCAACAACCTCCCCCTCGGCAATGCGTCGCATTCTGACAGACCCCTTCCTGCGGGCTCTTCTCACCTCGTCGGGTGCCGGCTCCGAGGCGCCGCCCCTGTCCGGTGCCGTGGCGGCCCGACACGCCGGACGTGGGTATGACGCCTCGTCGGCCAGCGACGATGATTGGCCGGATGTCGGGAGTGCCTCGGCCAGTGGCGACAGTGACACCGACCCGGAGCAGGAGCCACCTGCCCGGAGTCCGGCGGCTGGCCTGGAGCCTGGCGGACCTCTGGGCGATGAGGATGCCCCATTGGCCGATGCGCAGGCCGGCCCATCGCCCGGCACCGGGGCAAAGCCCTTCAGTCTGGAGGCCCTCTTCTCGGGGAGCATCGATTTCTTCGCCCAGGACCCGGTCCCTGGCCCGGTCGCCGGTGACCATGTCCCCTCGGCGGATGCCTGGCTGGCTGATGATCCGGAGATTCGATTCCTGCGTCAGCGCCTTGCCCTGGACTCCGGGACAGGCTTGGATGCCCTGCTTGGCGAGGCAGCCGCACCGGAACGCATCCACTCTTGGTGGCATGTGCACCTGACGCGGTCGTCGCAGCGGGCTTTCTGCGTCGTCATCGCTGCCGAGCATTTTGAGGCACGCCAGTGGCTTCGTTTGGTCCTGTCCCCTTGCTGTTGTTTCCCCGCCCGGACTAACCCCCCCCGCAGGCGGTGCTCTTGCGTGTGCGCTTTCTGGGCATCGGTCCGGCCTGGTGCCCGGAGCCACCGCGAGACCTGGTTAACTCGCTGGTGGCCCGGGAGGCCGAACGCCCGGCCGCAGCGGGAATTGGCGGCCTCCGCGCCCCTGCCCCGTGCATCCCCCTGCCGATCAGTCTCAAGGCGTCGACCAAACTCCGGCCACATCAGGTGGCTTGCCTGGAGGCCATCTTCTCCGGCAAGTATGTGGTCTTCCCTTGGCATGGGCATCTGCTTCCTTCCCCACACTGATCCCCTTCTTCTCGCTCCGTCCTCCTCCCTCCTGCCTCCCCTCGACCAACCCTCGCCAGCCGCGCCAAGTCCGGTGTTGTGGTCCTCCCGTGTGGCGCTGGCAAGACCCTGGTGGCCATTGCGGCGGCCTGTGCCTTGCGGCTGAGCACCATGGTTTTGTGTCATTCGCAACTCGCCGCCACCCAGTGGCGATCCGAGCTCCTGCGTTGGGCTGATGTCGGCGCCAGCATCGAGGGCCGCGCAGCCGGCGCCCCCGGCCCAATGCGGTCGGCCTATCGGAGTCTGAATGCCGATGATCGGGTGACCATTTGGTCCAGTTCTTCCGGCAAGCGGACGGTGCGTTGGTGCTCCCCCTTTGCTGCCTTCCTTTTCCGCCGGCGCTCGCGTGCTGACCCGATTCCCCCGTGGGTCCCTTGGCCTGGCCGTTCCGGTGTTGGTGGGCGATGGGTCCGCAGTTTCGCGATGCTGGCTTCCCCTCGGGCGTGCTGATCAGTACCTATCAGACGGCCTCCTCTCGAAGCTCCGGCCACTATCAGGTACGGCGGTCGGCGCGGGGGTTTCCCTGCGGTTGCGGGCATTTTTTCTGACGTCCTGCTCTTTTCAGAGCCAGCCCGGGAATGAGGCCGGCCTGGACTCGGCTCTGCTGCGCTTCGCGCGAACCGTGGACTGGGGCTTGCTGGTGCTGGACGAGGTCCATGTCTTGCCGGCGCACACGTACTCCCGAGCGGTGGCGCGCATTCAGGCGCGAGTGAAGCTCGGCCTGACGGCGACCCTGGTCCGAGAGGATGGCCGCCTGGGGCGCATCCGGCATCTGGTCGGGCCACGCCTGTACGAGGCCAACTGGATGGACCTGGCTCGTGGGGGGGCCATTGCTCGGGTCAAGTGCCTGGAAGTGTGGTGCCCCATGTCGCGAGGGTTCTTCCGGGAGTATCTGGCAGCCCTGTATGGCACGGGTGGTCCAGCCGCCCTGGGATCCTCCTCGCCAGGTGGCACTCCCTCCCGGGGTCCTGGGGCCGGGCGCCGGGCCACACGCGATGCCCTGGTTGCACTGTGCCCCAGTAAGATCCACGTTCTGCAGGCACTGTTGCATCGGCATCGGAATGACAAGACCGTCATCTTCGCGGACTCGGTCTACTCCCTGAGGCAGTTGGCACGCCTGTTGCGCCTGCCGCTGGTCGACGGCGGTGTGGGGGAAAATGAGCGCCGGCGACGCCTGCAGCGTTTCCAGTCGGATCCCTCCTGCCGGGCGATCTTGGTCAGTCGAGTGGGGGACACTGGCATCGATCTTCCCGAGGCCCGGTGCCTGATCCAGGTGGGTGCGCAATTTGGGTCCCGCCGGCAGGAGGCCCAGCGTTTGGGACGCATCCTTCGTGCCAAGGGGTCGTCGGCATCTGCGGCCCGAGCGGCCCGAACCGGCGGCAGCATGGCCGACACCCTGCGCGGCGCCCTGGACGAGGCGCGGCCCGATGGCAATGGGCTGGTTGGCCTCACGGGCGGCCGAGGCGGCCTCGGCGAGGTGGGATCTGCCGGGCTCAGCCCGGCATCCGCCTCCCCTGATGCCGGTCTGCTGGGAGCCGGCGGGCGGGCTTGGTCTTCGGCGGCGGCGGCGGCGGCCGCCGCGCGGGCCATCGCCCAAAGTGACGCCTCCATCAGCTCGGCCTTCCTGGAGCCCGTGAGCCCGCGATCGGCCGCCGGGGATGGGCCCAGCTCGCCGGCGGCAGCGTCAGCGGCCGGTCCGCCGACCACCCCTCTTCGGCTGGGGGCCTCAGCGCCTCGGGGCCCGGGATCACCGAGCCCCGGGGCCAGTCCCTCGCCCGGAGCCGGCAGCCCCGGAAGCGGCAGCAGTGCCAGCTCATGTCACATTACACGAACGGTCGGAGCCACGGCCGATTTGCTGGATGTGACGACCCCCGGGGCGGAGGCCTTCGATGCGTGTTTCTATGCCCTGGTGGCCACGGATACGCGCGACGCGCGCGACGCCAAGCGCCGGCGGCGGTACCTAGCCGATCAGGGATACGCCTTTGAGGCGCTCCCGGCGGCGGCCATCATCAATGAGCTGGCTCCGGCGGAGCTCCGGCGGCTGGCTTGTCGCGGGGAGCGAGCCCAGGCCATCCTCCTGCGGGATATCACTCGTCTCGAGGAGGTGGACTTTGCTACGGCCCAGGCGGCCGACCTGTTTGACCAGACCGCTGGCGCTGGCGCTAGCGCAGCCGGGCCCACATCTCCCGATGGGGGGTCAGTCCGCGGGTCGGCCTTCACGGTTCGCAGCGCCGGATCGTTGAGTCAGGCGTCCGGTGCCGGGGTGGCATTTTACACGGAAGACGCTGGCAGGGGGTCTGCCATGCTGGCGGAGTCTCCGGCGGGCCTGGAGGGAGCCGAAAGTCTGGAGGCGCCCGAAACCCCGTCATCACGCCGGCCATGAGACGTGGTCCCCTTGTTGTCGGCCATCAGCCGGTTGTTCTGCGCTGAGCGCTGTCAAATGGCCAATAAAGCAGCCCACCCTGGAGTTGTCTCCCCTTCTCTTCCCCTCTGGGCACATGGCTGCGGCAGTCTGATGTGAAAGAGGGGAAGCCGGGAAAATGCTATGCATGTGTGCCTGTGCGTGTGTAAGAGATCAGCGCGACGTGCGCGGATATAGTGTATTGGGTGGGTGCTCGGCAAAAGAGGAAAGCCCCATTCATGTGTGCATTTATGTGTGTGTGTGTGTGTGTGTGTGTGTGCGCGCGCGCGGTGATGACGGGCACGCCCCTCGGGAGCGCCCAATTGCCGAATGCCGGGGTAGGAAAGAAAGATAGGCAACCGTGGGCCAAAGGGAGGGAGGAAGGGAGTGACACATGGCGCAGACGCATGTGTGCTTGGGGGGGGGGGGGGGGGGGGGGGGTTGTTTTGGGGGGGGGGGGGGGGGGGGGGGGGATGTATGTTTGTGTGTGTGTGTGTGTGTGTGTGTGTGTGTGTGTACATACGCACGCACATGTACGCACACATCCATCCATACACACAGGGACATCTATGAGGAGGGAGGGGGGAGCTCATTCATACCTCGTGCATGCGTGTGCGTGTGGGCATGATACCACCAGCAGCAGAGTGCAGCGCCTTGCCAATGAGGCGAGGTGACAGGCAGAGGAGAGGGGAGGGGATGTCTTACTTGTCGCGAACCTCCATGTTCAGCAGGGCCTTGGTCTTCTGGGTGGCCATGGAGTCAATCTCCTTGATGCCATCGTCGATGACCTTCTGGATGTCCTTCTCCACGCGCTTGACCGAGTCCTTCGGCAGGGAGCTCTCGACCTTCTTCAGGTCGCGCAGGGCCGCCTGGCGGATGTTGCGAATGGAGATCTTCGAGTGCTCGGAATCCTTCTCGATCTGCTTGACCAGCGACTCGCGGTACTCCTTGGTCACGCGCGGCACCGGGACCTTGATGATGTTCCCCTCGGTCGACGGGTTGAGGCCCATGCCGCCGCCGCGAATGGCCTCGGCGATCGGCTCGGACATCGACGCGTCGAAGACATTCAGCTGCAGGGTCTGGGGATTGAGGACACTCACCTGGCAGAGATTGCGCAGGGACATCGACATGCCCTTGACATCGACCGTGACGCTCTCAAGGATGGCTGGTACACACAGGCAGGGAAGGGGGGGGGGAGGGGGGAGGTCGGGAAAAGGGTCAGCCAGGCTGGTGATTGTGGAGGGAAGGGAGAAAGTCGCAGGGGCCAAGCAAGAGGCGAGACTCGCTCAAGGAGCAAGACAGCGTACCGGGGTTGGCGACACCCATGCGCATCTGGGCCAGGTCCGTGCGGAAGACCTCGATGGTGCGGGAAATCTTCTGCTTGGAGGGGGTGACCGTGGAGGCGATGACATCCTCAATGCGCACCTCTGGGGCATTGTCATCCTTGCCGCCCTTGCCGCCCTCTATTTCGGGTGGATGTCCGCGAGGGAGATAGCGGGCCATGGTCAGTTGTGTGCATGTCGGCATGTGGGTGGGTGTATACATATATATATATATATATATGTGTGTGTGTGTGTGTGAAGAGGCGCAGGCGTGCATGCAGGAGGGGAAGGCCCGGCCAGGTGTGACCAAGATAGAGAGAGAGAGAGAGGGAAAAAGAGGGAGAGAAAGAGACACGGGAGAAACGCACTGCCACCGGCCTTCTTCTTGGAGGAGTAGTGGCGCATGATAATCGAGGCGCCAGGGCCGGAGGGGGCCCCGGTAGGCATGAGCATGATCGGCTGGACGGCCAGAGGAGTAGGCGCAGGGCGGTCCGCCGGGGTGGTGGCGAGGATGGCCGAGGCCGCGCGCGTGCGCAGGGCCTGGCTGGCCGCCACACGGCCGGCGGAGACGCGGAGAGTGTTGAGAAGCATGGTTGTAGGTGCCAGACGTGCGCGCGTGTTCGCAGGGAATGACGGGGACTGTGGGAAAGCAGGTGAAGTGGGGGGGAGAGGGCTGGCGCGGCAGGCCGCCGGGCGCCCTGGTGCTGGTCCGGTTGCTCTTGGCGGCCCGAGCCGAGGCAGCTCCCGCTCCCTCCCTCCCCCGGGTGGCGTGTGGGACCGGAGGCGCGCAGGCCCAGCCACAGGGCCGGAGGCCTGGGTCAACTGGCCGGTTCTGCTGCGTGCCCCCCGATCGACGGTCACTCTCTTCCCCTATTTGTGCAGGCCCGTGTGGATGATGGCCGCCACACCCAAGCCATGCCCGCCCGAGGGAGGGAGGGAGGGAGGGGGGGGGGGGGGAAGGGACAAACAGGCGGGGGGGCTGATGGTCGTGGCAGCCCGCAGGCCGGGCCAGGGAGGACCGGGCAGGCGTGGCAAGATCGCCAAGAGGTGCCACCGCACCAGGTCCCACGCCGGGCCCGCGCCCCCATCTTTAGATTAAACCCCGCCTCTGGCCGGGGGCGCATGCTGCGATCACCGATGGGCAGTTGCCGTCGGAGCGGCCGTGCGTTCCCCCGGCCAGGGGGGGACACCGCGGCTCGTTCCCTCCCCCCCCTCGCCCGCCTCCCCGTCAAGCATGTGCCTTTTCAGGTCTAGTGTGTGTATTGTGCAGAGAGACAATGCCCGCCGGGGCGGCCAAGGTGACTCCTGCCCTAGGCGCTCGGGCAAGGGAGCGGGAACGGGAGAGCGAGGGCAAAAGGGGCGCGCTTCTGGCATGGGGCTGGTGTGCCGGGGGCGCGCTCTTGCGTCTCTCTGTTTTTCTCATTTTCAAACCACAAGGACGGGAGCAGAGGGGGGAGGGTGAGCCCCTCCCCCGCGCACGTGGGACACATATGCCCGCGTGCGTGTGTGTGTGTGTGTGTGTGCGTGTGTGTATGTATGTATGTGTGTGTGTGTGTGTGTGTGTGTGCAGGCATGCGCAGAGTGCGCTTTCATCCCCGGTTGCTCCTCCGGCCCTCGGCCCGGCCTCTCTCAGAGTATCCCAGAGCCCGTCCTCCCCCGGGGCATGCGCTCCATGATGGATCCCATCATCCAGACATGGGGACACAGGGCCATCGGCCGAGGTGTGCCCGTGCACGGCCCCGCGCCGGGAGGAAGCCATGTGGCGAAAGAGAGAGAGGGAGAGAGAAGGGGCGAGAACCAGGGGGGAGGAGGGGCGAATAAACGAGGGCAAGGGGGAAGAGTGATGAGGCGTGTGTGTGCGTGCGCGCGCGCGCGCGCGCGGGGCCACTCCTCACACCTCGAAGAGCCACGGGTGGCGGAGCATATCAGCCGCGGTGGCCCGGCGGCTGGGATCCATCTCCAACATGGGCAGGAGGAAGTTGGCCAAGGACTCGGCATCATGCCGGGCGAAGTTGTACTCCTCCAGCAGCACGGAGCACAGGTCCCAGTACTTGAGGGTGGACACGCGCCGCAGGGCCGGGGTCACCTCGGCGGCCGGGTTGTCCACGAGGGAGGGGCTGCCGCGCGAGCGACCGCCGGCCCGGGCGCCACCTTGCGCTCCGCCGGAGCCCGGGCCAGGGAAGCCCTCCGGCCGGATGAAGAACTCGGCCGACCGACGACCGGCCATGGCTACCCGGGCCGGGAAGCACTTGGGCCCGAGGAGCTCCATCATCAGGGCCAGGTGGTCGTCATCGCGCGAGTACGACTTGGAGGAGGAAGCTCGCGGGTTGAAGAGGAAATCCCCGGTGGCCAGCTCGAAAACCATGCACGCGAAGGACCACATGTCGGTCGGGGTGCTGTAGCCAGCCTCGATGATGACCTCCGGCGCGCGGTACTGCCGGGTTTGGATGTCCCGTGTGAAGGGGTGCCCAACGAAGCAGGCATTGCCGAGATCGGCGATCTTGTAGATGACCGTCGGGTCGTGCTGGCTGGTGCTGCTGCTGCTGCTGGTGTTGCTGGCGCTGCCACCACCACCGCCACCGCCCCCGGCGCCGGAAGACCCGAGGGCCGGGGGCGAGGACTCGGTCACCGGGGGCGAAGTGGCACCGGGCTTGTTGCCGGCAGCCGGGACGATGGCCACATCGACATCCATGTGCTCATCATCATCGCCATGCGGGTAGTGGGCCCCGGCCGCGCCGCCATGCCGAGAGGAGGCGGACGAGGACGACGTGTCGACCGACATGCTGGACAGGGACTGCTCGAGGCGCGAGTCGGTCGACTGCGACCGGAGCTGCTGCCGGCGCCGGCTCCGGTGTGTCTCCAAATTGGCCAGCTCCCGATGGGAGGGGCGATACCGGCGAAGCAGGCGCGAGGAGACATCGGCCTGGGCCCGGGCGGCCACGCTGTCGACGACGCGCTGCACACGCCCCGCATGGCCGAGACCGATGAGGACATTCTCCGGCTTCAGGTCGGTGTGAATGATGCCGCACACCCGGTGCAGGTAGTCCAGCCCGCGGAGGACATCCCGAGCAATGGTCCGGACCATGGCCAGGGGCAGGCCCCGGTGCTTGAAGCGCCGGATGAGGTACAGCAAGTTGCGGCCCATCATGTCGAAGACCATGCACACGTGGCGGCTGTTGTTGCCGGCGTGCACGAAGTTGTCCCGCATGCGCACCACATATTGGGCCAGCTCGGCGTCCGACTGGGGCTCCGGCGCCAGGAAGGACATCGGCCGGTTGCCGGCGGCGAGGGTGGTGGTGGCGCCGGAGGAGGCAGTGCCGGCTCCGATGCCGGAGTCGGGGATGCCCGGGGCCCCAGGGTCCGAGGAGCCGGCGGCCGATGTGGCGACATCGGCGCTGGCCCCGGGCGGGGGGGCCGTGTAGTTGCGCCGTGGCCGGCGATCGACCGCGCGATCGGCCACACGCCGGCACAGGCGGATTTCATCGCGCGCGGTTTCCGAGTACCGACGCGCGCTCTTGACAACCTTGAGAGCAACATGGTCGCCAGTTCTGGGTGGAAGGTTGGGGGTGGGGCGGGGCG